GAACTTGGGTAGGGTTGAGGGCAGTGGTGGGATAATCCAAAAACAAGAACTATGTACAACTGAGAACTTAAGTATTCTTCAGGATAAGCTATTTTGAAGTCCAAGCTTGAAACAAACAGTAGACTTCAGCTTAGCAGTAGTAGTTGGAGCCACAAGAGCAGAGTCCCTTTAAGTAGGAGATTAGTTGGACAAAGCTCTTCAGGACACCAGCTGGTATCCCCTTTAAATAGACTTGTGGCTGACTTAATAGTGTTAGAAGGGCAGCAAAAGCACAAAGGTTCTCAAGATCTCCCCAGTGTCTGTATACACAAGATCCATGGACATCTGGTAGCTTCTATCCAACTGTCAAGCAAACCTTTCAATGATACCAGACCATATCTTCAGCAGACAGCCCCCCTCTTTAGCTCCCGAGTCTCAGGATTCAAGCCTCTCAGGTTGCCCACCTGAGGTATTACCAAGCTGCTTCTGCCTGGGAGGGCAGCGTGCCCCCCAGGCTGGACTAAACCACACTGGGAAAAGACACTGGGCTCAGTGTGCTCATTAGTGATGGGCCGAACACCCCCCTGTTTGGTTTGCAGTCAAACATTCAAACCTAATTAAAGTTCAACCGCAAATTTCGAACAGGGACAGTTCACTAAGTGATATCTTACCGCATCTGAGTATGTAGCAAGTTACTATACAGCTACAAAAATTCAGCATGAGTTATATTAAGTCATGCGGTATTTTAGTAGTAAAAACATGTTCCAGTTGTCCGAGGGGTTCCCCGCTGATATCTGAATGTCAAAAGAATTGCCGGCAATTCAAAAATCTTTAAAAAAAAACATTGTGGGGTCCCCTGCCCCCATCCATACCAAGCCCCTTGGGTCTGGTATGGATTTTGAGGAGAATCACCACACCCAATTTAAAAAAAAATGGCATGGGGTCCCCTCCGAAAATCCATACCGGACCTTTATCTAAGAATGCAGCCCGGCAGGTCAGGAAAGGGGGGGACGAGCAAGTGCCCCCCCCTCCCGGACTATACCTTGCCACATGCCCTCAACATCATGGGGGGGTGCTTTTAGGGCAGGGGGCTCCCCTTCCCCAAAGCATCTTGTCCCCATGTTGATGGGGACAAAGGCCTCTTCCCTACAACTGTGGCTGGTGGTTGTGGGGGTCTGTGGGCGGGGGTCTTGTCGGAATTTGGAAGCCCCCTTTAACAAGGGGGGCCAAGATCCCAGGCCCCCCATGTCAATGAGTATGGGGTACATGGTACCGCTACTCATTCACAAAAAAAAAAATGTATTGTAAGAAATAACAGGACAGTCTTTGACAAGTTAAAGACAAAAATGTAAAAACTGTCCCCTAAAGTATATCCGACGTCAATCACGATGCCCGCCACCACCACCGACCCGGAAAAAAAAAAACCCCCAAAAAACGATCTCTGGCTCCCGGCCGTCTGACAGCTGCGCCAGCCTGACAGTTCTTAAATACTGTGATGACATCACAAGGGGGTGGGGTTGCTCCACCTCCTTGTGATGTCATCAGGTGCTGTGAATGGCCAAAGCATCGCACCTGACCTATGAGCAAGTGCATTGCTTTGGCCAATCTCAATGTACTGTCAGGGCACAGTGCATTGTGGGGCTCGGCGGACGAAGAGCCAGCTGAACGAACTTATCAAACACAAGAACGGCTGATGTTCGACTCGTAAATCAAGCCCAGCCCTAGTGCTCACAGAATATATATATATATATATATATATATATATATATACAGTCTCCCAGCATGCCATCAGAGCTCCTCTCTCTAGGATAGGCTAGGGCTGTATCAATATTCAGGCTGCCATCTGCATATCTCCACACCTATCGTTCAGAAACTTCTCCAATTCCCGGGACACAGAGGAAGCTCTAGACCAGACTGGCAACAGCTGAACACTCTGAGCAGACCTGACTAGCAGATTGCAGCTTCACTGAATACAGTGAGCTAACTATGCTTTTACCTACCAAACCAATACGGCCACATTGACTACAGCATGGCAACTAAATCTACCTATCCAAACCACAACTGACTCTTACCTATCTCATCCCCAGCACCTATCTAGGAGAGGGCTTCATGTATATGATTTTAATTTTGAGTCTACCACAAAATTGCCCATTTGAGCTCCCTTACCCATCCTTCACCCATCATCGGGGGCTCATTGTTGGGAAATGACCAGTCTAGGGGATGTTGTTTTGTGGTTTTTATTTTTGGGGAACTTGGGTAGGGTTGAGGGCAGTGGTGGGATAATCCAAAAACAAGAACTATGTACAACTGAGAACTTAAGTATTCTTCAGGATAGGCTATTTTGAAGTCCAAGCTTGAAACAAACAGTAGACTTCAGCTTAGCGGTAGTAGTTGGAGCCACAAGAGCAGAGTCCCTTTAAGTAAGAGATTAGTTGGACAAAGCTCTTCAGGACACCAGCTGGTGTCCCCTTTAAATAGACTTGTGGCTGACTATATAGTGTTAGAAGGGCAGCAAAAGCACAAAGGTCCTCAAGATCTCCCCAGTGTCTGTACATATTGACTACAGCATGGCAACTAAATCTACCTATCCAAACCACAACTGACTCTTACCTATCTCATCCCCAGCACCTATCTAGGAGAGGGCTACATGTATATGATTTTAATTTTGAGTCTACCACAAAATTGCCCATTTGAGCTCCCTTACCCATCCTTCACCCATCATCGGGGGCTCATTGTTGGGAAATGACCAGTCTAGGGGATGTTGTTTTGTGGTTTTTATTTTTGGGGAACTTGGGTAGGGTTGAGGGCAGTGGTGGGATAATCCAAAAACAAGAACTATGTACAACTGAGAACTTAAGTATTCTTCAGGATAGGCTATTTTGAAGTCCAAGCTTGAAACAAACAGTAGACTTCAGCTTAGCGGTAGTAGTTGGAGCCACAAGAGCAGAGTCCCTTTAAGTAAGAGATTAGTTGGACAAAGCTCTTCAGGACACCAGCTGGTGTCCCCTTTAAATAGACTTGTGGCTGACTATATAGTGTTAGAAGGGCAGCAAAAGCACAAAGGTCCTCAAGATCTCCCCAGTGTCTGTACACATTGACTACAGCATGGCAACTAAATCTACCTATCCAAACCACAACTGACTCTTACCTATCTCATCCCTAGCACCTATCTAGGAGAGGGCTACATGTATATGATTTTAATTTCGAGTCTACCGCAAAATTGCCCATTTGAGCTCCCTTACCCATCCTTCACCCATCATCTGGGGCTCATCGTTGGGAAATCCAATTCTAAGTAATATCTGCAGTGATTACAAATGTAATCGAAGTTCCCTTCACTGCCACCAATCTTGTCCCCCGTAATTTCCTATGGAGGCCCCAACGCTCGCTATCACTTGGTTGTCTAAGCTCCCGTTCCCCGCACCGCAAATGAAGGAACAACACTACAATCCTCACCTGCAGACGCAGCATTTCCCTCCCGGCCGCTGTGCGCTAATGTGAGTCTTAATGGCCAATGCAGGTAAGCGGAATGTAAATCCAGGCAGGCAAATGAGATCATTTTAAAACAAAATAAATACAGCCAATAATTGTAATGTACAGGATATTAGCTGAAAGTCTATTTTAAGTGTGATTACGCTCGCCAAATTCACCTTCAGATAATTCGAGATGTGCGCGAGCATAAAGTCATAGATTGTGTTTAGAGCATTAGAAAACATCGCTGACTGGAATTCGTTCATTTACAGAACCCGCTTGTGCTGATAAGAGAGGCGGCTCTGCTGCCATTTTTATTATTATTCCACATTAAAGGGACCGTCCACCCAAAATGGGATATTCCTTTCCTAATAAATATTAGCGGGATGAACCAAGTTTACAGATACAATATAATACAAGACGGTATGGAGGGCCCTGCGCATAAGAGCTTACACTCCAATTGGGAGGGGCAAGTGGTACAAAAGGTAATAACTGTAAGGGATGAGCTGATAGAAGAGTTAAAAGTTTAGGTGTTAGTTGGAGGCGGGATAGGCTTCCCTGAAGAGATTCATTTTCAGGGATCTCCTAAAGATGGCCAGAGTAGGAGATAGTCGGACAAATTGGAGGTAGAGAGTTCCAGAGAGGATGGGAGAGGCTTGAGAGAAGTCCTGGAGGTGCACATGGGAGGAGGAGACAAGGGAGCTAGAGAGCAGGAGATCTTGGGAGGAGCGGCGAGGATGGTTTGGGTGATATGTTGGGACGAGATTGGTGATGTAGCTTGGGGCAGAGTTGTGAATGACTTGTATGTTGTTGCTACCATTTTTATTTTAATTATTGGGCAATGGGATTCCAGTGGAGGGACTGGCAGGGAGAGGGGAGAACACTGAGTGCAGGCTAGCGGAGGGGTTGGCAGAGAGGGGTGGAGGACACTGAATGGAGGCCAGTGGAGGGATTGACAGACAGGGGTGGAGGACACTGAGTGGAGGTCAGTAGAGGGATTGGCAGAGAGGGGTGGAGGACACTGAATGGAGGCCAGTGGAGGGATTGACAGAGAGGGGTGGAGGACACTGAGTGGAGGTCAGTGGAGGGGTTGGCAGAGAGGGGTGGAGGACACTGAGTGGAGGCTAGTGGATGGGGTTGGCAGAGAGGGTGGAGGACACTGAGTGGAGGCCAGTGGAGGGGTTGGCAGTGATGGGAGAAGAGTGCACTGAGTGGAGGCCAGTGGAGGGGTTGGCAGAGAGGGGAGAAGGACACTGAGTGCAGGGATTGGCATATGAGGGGTGGAGGAAAGTGGAGGGATTGGCAGAGAGGGGTGGAGGACACTGAATGGAGGTCAGTGGAGGGATTGGCAGAGAGGGGGGAGAGGAAAGTGCAGGGATTGGCAGAGCGGGGTGGAGGAAAGTGCAGGGATTGGCATATGAAGATGGAGGAAAGTGCAGGGATTGGCAGAGAGGGGAGGAGGAAAGTGCAGGGATTGGCAGAGCGGGGTGGAGGACACTGAATGGAGGCCAGTGGAGGAATTGGCAGAGAGGGGTTGAGGACATTGAGTGGAGGCCAGTAGAGGGATTGGCAGAGAGGGGAGGAGGAAACTGAGTGGAGGCCAGTGGAGGGATTGGCAAAGAGGGGAGGAGGAAAGTGCAGGGATTGGCAGAGAGGGGTGGAGGTCACTGAATGGAGGTCAGTGCAGGGATTGGCAGAGCGGGGTGGAGGACACTGAGTGGAGGCCAGTGGAGGGATTGGCAAAGAGGGGAGGAGGAAACTGAGTGGAGGCCAGTGGAGGGGTTGGCAGAGAGGGGTGGAGGACACTGAATGGAGGTTAGTGCCGGGATTGGCAGAGCGGGGTGGAGGACACTGAGTGGAGGTCAGTGCAGGACACAGAGCGGGGTGGAGGAGGTGGAGGTCAGTGCAGGGATTGGCAGAGCGGGGTGGAGGACAGTGAGCAGTTGGTAAGATGGATGAGTCTGGCAGCAGCATTCATGATGAGCTGGAAGAGGGGTATTACAAGCTCAGTTCTAGAAGGATTTTGTTTCTGGACGTGGTGTGACATCCAAATGTCAGATAGCGGCAAAGGGCTTGGCAGGTGCAGACGTTTTTTTTTTTTTTTAGATTTTGCCGAGTTGTCGTGACAACACTGGACCCCGAGATCGAAGATGGATTACAACGATGGAAACATTTATTTTTTTATTTATGTTTTAAATAAAGGACTTGTCAAAAACTGTTGTGTTTTTTTTTCACAGTTTTTGGTGAGTTGGTAGGGGTACCCCCTACTCATTCACATGGGGGGGCAGGATCTGGGGGCCCCCTTGATAAAAGGAGCTTCCAGATTCTGATAAGTCACCCTCCCGCAGACCCCCACAACCACAGCCCAGGGTTGTGGGGAAGAGGCACTTGTCGCCATCAAAATGGGGATAAGGTGCTTTGGGGGGAAACCCCCCACCCCAAAGCACCCCATGTTAATGGCATGTGGCCTGGTACGGTTCTTGGGAGGGTGCTCACTCACCCCCCCCCCCCTTTCCTGGCCTGCCAGGCCTGCACTCGGGTCAAGGGTCTGGTAGGAATTGCACCCCATCATTGATGTGATTGGGAAGAATTGTGCCCCTTTATTGGTGTCAGTGGGAGGAATAGTGCCCCATCGTTGATGTCATTGTGAAGAATTGTGCCCCATCATTGGTGTCAATGGGAGGAATTGTGCCCCATCATTTGTGTCATTGGGAGGAATTGTGCCCCATCATGGGTGTTATTGGGCCCCATCATTGGCATCATTGGGAAGAATTGTGCCCCTTTATTGGTGTCATTGGGAAGAATTGTGCCCCTTTATTGGTGTCATTGGGAGGAATTGTGCCCCTTTATTGGTGTCATTGGGAGGAATTGTGCCCCTTTATTGGTGTCATTGGGAGGAATTGTGCCCCATCATGGGTGTTATTGGGCCCCATCATTGGCATCATTGGGAAGAATTGTGCCCCTTTATTGGTGTCATTGGGAGGAATTGTACCCCTTTATTGGTGTCATTGGGAGGAATTATGCCCCTTTATTGGTGTCATTGGGAGGAATTGTTCCCCATCATTGGTGTCATTGGGCCCCATCGTTGGCATCAGTGGGAGGAATTGTGCCCCATCATTGGTGTCATTGGGAGGAATTGTGCCCCATCATGGATGTTATTGGGCCCCATTGTTGGTATCATTGGGAAGAATTGTGCCTCTTTTTTGGTGTCATTGGGAGGAATTCTCCCCCATCATTGGTGTTATTAGGCCCCATCGCTGGCATCAGTGGGAGGAATTGTGCCCCATCATTGGGCCCCATTATTTCCATTGGTGTCAGTGGGGTGCCACATTGTTGATATCAGTAGATGAAAAAAGCACCCTGAGGGCCAAATAAAAGCAAGCAAAGGGTTGCATCTGCCCCCCCCCCCCCCCCCGGGGCTGCAGTTTGGACACCATTCCTATAGGAGGTAAAGCCTTCTGTTTTTTGTATGTTCTTACCCCATTGAGCTGTGCCCATGTGACACCTGAACTATAACAAACAGTAGAGAAATAATTGTGTATGGAATGTAAATGATAAAAACTCAAATAAAATGCATTTATGCCGACAATGTATACACATACAGATGTGAAGGTATATACTCCGGGGTATAAATGTTTCATATTCCAGTTATTTGTCATATAAAGAGGCAGTAAATGACCTCTGAAAACTTCTCCATCCCCTGAAAGCTTTTCATTTTCCATCCGTGCAGCACTTTCCTTTCATGTTCCATGCATGATGGAGCTCCTACAGAACACGGGTTGTCACCCAGTTTAGCGGCCAGTTGTATGAATCATTGAGTGAGCGGTGACCTCCAGTACAAGTGTCTATACTTCACTTCCCACCTTACCAGCCAGTAACTGTATATATATCATCCGAGAGCGGCTCAGACGGCCATGAATAATTAACACAATTCAATAATTAACCAGCTGAATAATTCATGGAATAGAAAATTGTTTCAAAATGTGGGTTGGCGACCACGAGAGAAAGATGAATAAAGGAGAAAACGGGAAAAAAGTATGATTTTATAAATGTACAAAATTCAACTTCAGCCTCCAGAACATTCCTTGTGTTCCCTCTCAGCCTCAACGAGAAGAATTGTGTGCAGACACGGCTCCTATCTGTGATTGGCTGCACATTGGACAGATCTATTGGCTGCAATTCCACCACACTCCATCATCATTCTACACCCACCAGCCTTCGTGTGCAGACACGCCTCCTATCTGTGATTGGCTGCACATTGGACAGATCTATTGGCTGCAACTACATCATCATTCTACACCCACCAGCCTTCGTGTGCAGACACGCCTCCTATCTGTGATTGGCTGAACATTGGACAGATCTATTGGCATGCACACTACATCATCATTCTACATCCACCAGCCTTCGTGTGCAGACACGCCTCCTATCTGTGATTGGCTGCACATTGGACAGATCTATTGGCTGCACACTACATCATCATTCTACACCCACCAGCCTTCATGTGCAGACACGCCTCCTATCTGTGATTGGCTGAACATTGGACAGATCTATTGGCATCACACTCCATCATCATTCTACACCCACCAGCCTTCGTGTGCAGACACGGCTCCTATCTGTGATTGGCTACACATTGGACAGATCTATTGGCTGCAACTCCACCATCATTCTACACCCCCCAGCCTTCGTGTGCAGACACGCCTCCTATCTGTGATTGGCTGCACTTTGGACAGATCTATTGGCTGCAACTTGATCAGGAGTTTCTGATCATGTGACCACTATGGCAGCCAATCACAGCAGCCACATGATCTCAGTGCCCCCGGCATTTAAATCATCCTAAGGAGCAAAGGGGTTAAAGGCTGCTCAGGAGCTTCTTTGGGGCGGGACTGAAGCCACAAACATTTATTATAGGAGTGCCACACATTGTGGTGCATTGCAAGACTATGTAGAGGGATGGGGGTGTCCATTCCCTCCACTCAGGTCTCAGATTACACTCATCACCCTATTCTGTGCTGTGCCATGTGTGACATCACATCCCACCCCCTACCATCTGGAGCTGAGAAATGCTGTGTACATTATGTGATTTGAACAGCTGTAGAAAAGAGATGGCTGCAGATAAACAGGTACAATGTATGCGGGAGAATTCGTTTAGTCTCTGTGTATCACATGAGGCCAGTCACCTCACTGGGGATATGGAAGAGTTTACAGCTCCTTTAAATACAGATATGTCACAACCTTTATTTCCATATAAAATAAGTGAATATTCGAACTCTTCTGGAGACATTTCTGCTGACGGGAGTTTTCCTTTAACGTTTTATAACACGGATGATACACCCCGAAGAGATTAGGATGCATTATCAGACAATTAATAAATATTACTTTCCACTGTCCTTAAAATGCACACCCGGATTATTTTCTACTAATCCAGGCGACATTTAGAAATCCCGTACCTTCCCATTACTCGTATGTACTCAGAAGATAATCTCATTGAATTTCACGCCTCAAATCTGCTCACTTAAAACTCAATCTCAATAAACAGGGAAGCATCAGAGGATTATATTTCAATTAAAGATTAAATTTAGGACTGCTAATGCATAATTGCCTAAAACAGTATTTCAAATTGGCTGAAAGACTCAAAGCAGATCTTCATGGTGTCACTTGGCAGAGCTGGACTGGGAGTTGAAGCTGGCCCTCCATCAGCCCCAATCTGGATCCTGACTGACAAAGCCTTGATCATTCTAGAACAGTGATGATGGCTTTATGATCCACATATGTACAGTCCAATGTGAGCGCAAAACCAACCTCCAAGAGTCCAAGGTTCTAAATGATAAAATGCATTCATAGCAGAAACAAATCCAACACGTTTTCATGACCAAATACACACCCCCTTCATCAGAGTGTCACTAGAGTGACACCTTCCCTTTGGCTCAGTCCTCCAGGTCCTCACCTAGCTCTGTCTATTCTGCCACCCATGGCACTTGGCTTTGCCCATTCCACTTCCCATGGTGCTTGGCTCTGACCATTCTTTCACCCATGGCACTTGAATCTGTCCATTCTGCCATCCATGGCACATGGTTCTGCCAGTTCTGCCACCCATGGTACATGGATCTTCCCATTCTGCCTTTCATGGTACTTGGCTCTACCCATTCTGCCTCCCATGGCACTTGAATCTTCCCATTTTGCCCCCCATGGTACTTGACTCTGACCATTCCGCCACCCATGGTGCTTGGTTGTTCCCATTTGACCTCCCATGGTACTTGGCTCTGCCCATTCTTCCACCCATGGTGCTTGGCTCTGCCCATTCCACCACCCATGGTACTTGAATCTTCACATTCTGCCCCCCCCCCCCCCCATGGGTACTTGGCTGTGCCTATTCTGCCTCCCATGGCACTTGGCTCTGCCCATTCTGCTTCCCATGGCATTTGGCTCTGCCCATTTTGCCACCCATGGTACTTGGTGTTTCCCATTCTGTCTCCCATGGTACTTGGCTCTGCCCATCCTGCCTCTCATGGCACTTGGCTCTGCCTATTCTGCCTCCCATGGTACGTGGCTCTGCCCATTCTGCCACCCATGATACTTGGATCTGCCCATTTTACCACCCATGGCACTTGGCTCTACACATTCTTCCTCCCATGGTACTTGGCTCTGCCCATTCTGCCTTCCATGGCATTTGGCTCTGCCCATTCTGTCACCCCTGGCACTTGGTTCTCCCCATTCTCCCTCCCATCATACTAAGTTTTGCCTATTCTTCCACCCATGTACTTGGGTCATCCCATTCTGCCATCCATGGTACTTGGCTTTCCTCATTCTGCCTCCCATGGTACTTAGATCTTCTCATTCTGCCTCCCATGGCACCTGGCTCTGCCCATTCTTCCACCCTTGGTACTTTGCTCTGCCTGTTCTGCCACCCATGGCACTTGACTTTGCCCATTCTGTCTCCCATGGCACTTGACTTCGCCCATTCTGTCTGTCATTGCATTTGGCTCTGTCTATTCTGACTCCCATGTCTCAATGGTGATCAGGGAAGCTGCCCATCACATCTACTGCCCAATACAGGGGCATAGAAGATTGAAGGAACGGGGTCAAGAGAAAGTGGAGATTTAATATACAAAGTTCTCCGGGATTCCCGAGGTGCTGTAGGACAAAGGTCTCCCTGCAAGGCATCCGGAAA